AAAGTCAAGGATTTGACAGGGCAACCATGGTAACATGTTTTCTCTTAGGATTTTCATCAAACAATTCATATGCACATGCTACTACCATATTGGCTACACTTCCACAACTCTCTAATTCAACCAAATTGTGAGCCAAAAACTCACTAAATTGAGTATCAAACCTAGCTGAATTTCTCACTTCTCTACACTCCAAAAATCTCAACACAAAATCTTCCACAACTTCACCAAATCATCACATAACTATACACTACTTCTCATGGCTAGAATTTATACATCAATAAACATAAAAAAATAGCCCATAATTCTCTCATACCATCACATACAAACATGCAAAAAGAATTCATTCAACAAAGTCTTGCTCAAATTAAGGTTCAAATTAGGTTTACTTGCCTTGAATTTGAGCAACTCTAACACTATACTCTCTCTTTGGTAGAATTCCCTCTTCTCAAACCCTAAGCATATACAACCATAAGAATTCAAAACTTTAAAATTTAATCCCACTTCTTGGTGCAAGAATCTTACCTTTGGATGCTTATGATTGAAAATCTATCAAAAGTTAGCCAAAATCCTATGAATTTCCTTGGAAATTTAATAAAGAAATTTGAGAGAATTTGGGTAGAGAATGGCTTGGATGGAGGGTAGAGTGGCTAAGGTTTCTCTTCTTCAACTCTTAATATCATAAAATAATATATATATATTCCCATTTTACCCTTGCACTTTCTAAAAATTTTATCTATGTCCCTTAGTCAATTACCATAATGCCCTCATTTTTATTGCATTCTCCATGAAATTTTACTACTTTTCACTCCCCACTTTTATAACTAATTATGAGTGAAAAGACCATTTTACCCCTAATAAAATTTTAGGAAATTTTCTTCACACTTGGTCAAGATAACTTTAATAAGATTCAACTAAGGGTATTAGGGCATAAATAAAGCTATGTATCTTAATGTGGGCGTTACAGGGTCGTTACACTTTCTGAAATGGAGCTTTGCTGTTGTCGATTTCCAGGGAGGAATGGAGTTGTTGTCGTCGTCATCATCGAGGAATGGAGTTGTTGTCGTCGATTTCCAGCGAGGAATGAAGCTATCGTTATCGTCGATTTCTAGCGAGGAATGGAGCTGTCGTCATCGTCGTTGATTTCTAGCAAGGAATGGAGCTGCCGTTGTCTATTTCGGTGAGGGAGGAAGGCGTCGTCATCGATTTTAGAGAGTAGAGTTGTGATTGACACAATGGTTGCGATTTCAGACTTTAGAGAGTGGAGTTCATTGAGATTGAGTGGCGATTTGAGTGGGATTTCAGATTTTCAGAGGATTTTGCGTAGAGAAACTGAGAACGTAGAGAAAGTGAGAAACTAGAAAGAGTTAGGGATTTTTTCCCCTTTTGAAACATTGGACCGGTTTATAAAGCGGTCCGGTTGGATCGGCGGTTCACACTATTTTCCCGGTTCATTGGCGGTTCATAGCAGATTATTAAATATGACCGGGTTTTATATTGACTCGAACTGGACATGTGACCGGGTCTTGGTCCAACTGGTTGGACCGGCCTATCCGGTCCAATTTTTAAAACCATGAAAAATACGTTTGTAAAATTCGGCTATAAAATTCGGATACGAAAAAAATACGGTACGGGTATATATGGGTTTAATACGACACATTATCAATAATACGTTTTGAAAAATAAAGTAATATTAATCCTGATTTTAGTACTTTTCATGGACCATATGGTCAAAATCAATTTAACATTTCATTGTCTTCATTGTTTCTTGTTACATATTATTGGGTAGTGGGTATACCGTATACATAACCTAACCATTTCTAAAAAGCTAACACTTAAGTTTTATAAATTAAAAGTTTAAAACTTGTATAAACAAAAACTGTTATAACCATTTCATTTTGACCCATACAATACAAAACAACAAAACTAAATGGAATATTATGCTAAAACATATACCAAATAGCAAATATAACTCTCAAAAGCATTTCATCAAACATGTTTCAAACAAATCCATCAATCCACCAGCCCCTACTACTACTCACACACCAGCACAAACACAAGCAAATCACCAACATACGAGATTCAAAGAGAGTTAAAAAGAAAAGAGAAGAAATGTGTATCGTTACCGTGAGGCTTGAAGAGTTGAAGTCGACTTAAAACTTGGAGAAGAGAGTTAAAAAGTGAAGAGAAGATGAGATCAAGACATGAGTCAAGAGATGAAGAAAAGAGATTTAAAGAGATGAAGAACTGTTGAAGATTTGAAGAAGAGATGATTTGAAGAATGTGGAAGAGAACTGAGGAAGAACCGAAGAGAAGGATAAAAGAAAATCTTTTAACTTTTTAGTCATACCCCACCCGAAATGACATCGTTTTGGCTTTCCACTTAATTTTTTTTTTTTTTTGCCTACAATAATTCAACAATAATACGCATATAATTCGCAAATTATACGAATTGGGCATATAATTCGCGTATTATACTACAGCCTTGATAAAATACATAAATTCGAATAAAATGCGAATTTACTAACTAGGTGAATGATCACTTACTATCTTGAGTTAAAAAATCTCTATAAATTTTTTACAAGCTACTAAGTGCTTTTGTTTATTGCAAATCAAATCGTAAAACACAATGTAGTAAGTATTACCACAATTTCAGAATTTTTTTTGCACAATTTAGCTTATTTTATGCATTTAGGAGGGCCTAAAGTTGCTTCAGAATTTTTTCCATAATGCTCAAAACAAGTTGTCTTTAAATATGCTTCAAAACATGGAAGAAACTCTGCTTCAAAGTTCAAACCACTCAATCAAGCAACAAAATTGAGATAAAAAGGCAAAGAATAAAGAGCGTCAATTTATTTTCAAATAAATTCATTGATAAATGTCCCTTTAATCTGTAAAGACATAGGCTACAGTTCTGAAATAAAGAAAGAATAACTAAAGCACACTCAACAAAGATACATTTTTTATTCTCTCCTTTATACAAGAAAACAAAAGGAAGTTTTGTGTAACAATCAAAATTCACTCCTTCAGGTCATGCACTTGGAGGCTTGTACAATTTCTCAACCATCTTCCTATACTCTGCAAAAGAAAGCACTACTCTAAACAAGTAAGGGACGCCGCCTAACAAAAGAAAGCAAGGGAGCCAGATGTACACCCTTTACACACCCCACAACACCCCCTAAACAGCCAAAAGAAACCATCCAGGGATGACAAACCAAAAAAGTCTTTACACAGCCAAAAGAACAGTAGTAGCCACAACACAAGACCCCAAAAAGCACCTGGAGTAGGAGCATAAAACAGCCCAGAAAACAGCAACAAAAAATCAACTGGAGAAGTGAATCAGCTACAGCCCCACGCTACACATCACAACAGCAACATCCAAGCAACAACACAGCAGCAAGAATGGATAGCCAACAGCAAAAAAGCAGCAAGAATAGCCCCCTGCTGGTAAAAAAAAAAAAAAAAACAGCAGCAACAGGGGAGACAAGGAGTCTGCAACAATGCACAAAGACCCTAGCGGCATCTGCTTCAATGCTGCCCTCACCTCCTCCCACAAAGCCAACCTCCAAGCCAACCACCCCAGCACCAAAAACACCCCCCAACCACCAGTCCCCCTCACCAGCCACACAAACCACACACAACAACCCCAAGAGATAGGTCTGTAGTAGCCACAACACAGGACCCCAAACCAAAAATTCAACCCACACACCAAGAGAGAAAAAAAAAACTGAAACAAGATCCCTTCCTCCAGAAACATCTCTGCCAAATGCACCATGAAACAAACCAGAAACAACAAGCCCCACACCCTCCCACTGCCCACTCGCCATCCGCACCAATTGGTGAGCAACTTAAAATTTTAATTAAGTTATTTTTCTTAATGAATTCCATTTCTGGGTTCTTAATCTTCTCTCCATCCAAATAGAAAATTAGAAGTTAATAAGAAAAAGAAAATTATATATCAGTGTTCTTACCATTAAAGCCATCAATTCAGACTGCAATCTATTCAATCAAACATATAAAAATGAACAATTAGAAAATCCCAAAAATCCTAAACAACTTTTAGAAATAAGCAATCAAATAAACTTAAAAAACCAATTCAAGAACTCAAAGATTTGCCTTTGAAAATGATAGGTTGGTGGTGGTGGAAGATGATAGATTGGTGGCCTGAAACGTGTCGGTTTGTAAAGGATAGCTTGTGGTGGTGGAAGAGGAGTCGCGAATGTTGGTGGCGAGTGGTGGTGGAAGACGATAGCCTGCTGTGGTGGAAGAGGAGTTGTGAATGACGGTGGTGGAATAGGAGTCACAAATGATGGTGCTAAGTTCAATTTCCATTCTAGGGTTTCAATTGGATTTTGGGAGAGAAATTTTTTATTTAAGAAGAGGAGTTGCGCATGACGGTGGTGGAAGACTGATTTGTTGGGCAATTTTGAGAGAGATTTCTAGGGAAGGAGAGAGCTTGACATTTTGATTTTATTTTGGGCGAGAGATTAGATATTTAGATTCAGGGGAATTGAAATATTGGGTTTTTTTTTATTTTCTTTTTTTAAATTTGGGGGAAAATGATGTGGCATTTTGTTAATGTGGCAAATGATGTGACAACTGCCATGTCTGCCATGTTGTGATGTAAGACGATGATGTGCGAAGATGGTGAAAACCTAGTATTACTATACAAGATTACCTTTACTATAACTGTCATGAACTTATGATGTAAGAAACCTTAAGTGGTTACTTTCTGGAAGCAAAGCTTGACAGGTGCTATTATGATAGACCAGAATGATGTATTTGAATATGTGTTATTTGATAGCATTGAGAATGAGCATATTCATTTAATGGGACAATTTAACAATTTTTTTTTTTTTTTTTGGTTTTTTATTGTAAAATACAAAATACTTATTTTGAATGTGTTAATTATGACTATAATTAGCTACCATTAAGTTTATGTACAAGAGTAATACAAAAACCTCTATATAGTTGAACACAGATCATAATCATTAATAGGCTTTAAATAAATTAAAAAAATTGATAAAACTAAATGTATTCTATATTAGAATGCGTATTTTGGAACATTAAAAAATTAATATGCAACACGGTCTCACTGTTTTAAAACCTGAATCGAAGGGCAACCCGTTCTGCTGCCTGGGTCATGAGTCGAACAGTCCAATCTACCGGTCGAATCGGCCAGTTGGACCGCTGACATCATCATGCTAACATCAGCACTGCCAAAAAAAAAAAAAAAATCCAGATTTTTGAAAAAGTTTCAAATTTTCAATAACAACTTAATTACTACCTGAACATGATTCAAATTCAATGACAATCCTAACCTGATTTAACAACAGTCCCAACATGATGAGTTTATCCATTACAAATTAAGTGACAAAATATTAAAAAGATAATCACATAATAATTAATAACAAAACATTTGGTGCAAGTGCTTTTTCTTTGACTAGTCTCTATGTTGATTGAGCTCCACACACTTAGATCTACACCCTCAATAACATGTCCCCATGCTATATCAGTCCTACCTCTACTAGATTGTGAAAAAACTCAGATGATGACATTGTTTGTTTTTAATTTTTATCTACCTGGCATACAAGCAATAACAACAATAATTTAGAATATACTTGACATGTTAAAACACTAGCATATTATGAACGCATTCAAGGAGGCTTTACAATAGCCTATAAAATGAAAGACGTATCTTTTGTGAGATGATACAAAAGCAATAAGCACGTAACTATAATATCCATAGTTACCAAATAGTGGAAACCACAAAACTCATACACAACTTCCTAATTCAGCTTAAACAAAAACAAAAACAAGTAGGTAACTAAACCACAATGATCTGGATGTTACTATGTAACTTATAAAGAGCATAAATTATTGGTTTGTTATCATAACAAAGGCTTTGCATTTGCATAGCAATAAGAATTTGCTACAAACAAAAAGGAAAAAAGATGCCAATTAAATTCAACAGATACGATTCCCTTATATATAAAACTTGTTTCAATATACAATATTATATGTTATAGCTCCACCAAAAACTTATAATTGACAAAAACTTTTGTAGATTACAACATGCTTGAAATGCGGAAATAGAATTCCAAAAGGCACCTTGACTTTTAAGCATTATATCTTTATTCTCAAGTTTGGGCAAATCCGGGTTATTCAGCTATTCAGCCCAGGGAGAAAACACAAATAATCAGGGTACCTTCAAATTATCTTCCAGAATTCGAGTAAAATAATTCTGCAACTTCCAATCAAATAATCAAAACAAAACTTCCAAATTTGGAGGATCCTGCCAAAAAAAGAAAAAATCTACTTCCAATCAAATAAACCAAGCATTATAATCAAAACAAAACTTCCAATCAAATAATCAAAACAAAAATTCAAAATCCAGAAAAAGAGAATCAAATAAACCAGATGTAACCCATTTTTAAGCTTCTAATCAAATAAACCAACTCAGTCGAAAGAGAACCAAAATAAACCCAAACTTCCAAATCAAAACAAAACTAAGCATTATAATCAAAACAAAACTTCCAAATCTAGAAAAAGAGAACAAAAACAAAGACAAATAACAAAACTTCCAGCGGAAATACCTTTACAAAGCTTAAGCGAGGGAAAGAGGCGTCACTGTTGTCGATTTCGAGCAAGGGAGGTGTCGTCGTCATCGATTTCCGACGAGGGAAGGAGGCGTCGTCTCGTCGTCGAGCAAGGAAGGTGTCGTCGTCGTCGATTTCCAGCGAGGGAGGGAGGCGTCATCCTCGATTTCAAAGAGTGGAGTTGCGATTGAGACAGTGGTTGCGACTTGAGACTTCAGAGAGTGGAGTTGATTGTGATTGAGTAGCGATTTCAGAGGTGCTTTTGCATAGAGAAACTGAAAACAGAATAGATTTAGGGCTTTTTATTTTACTTTTGAAATTCTGAGCTAGTTTACCAAGCGGTCCGATTGGACCGGGAAATTTTCACTGTTCATCCGGTTTAAAAACGGTTTAAAACAGGTACTGTTGCTATACATGTCTTTTCTGCACGCCTGCAATATCAAATGGAAACTGAAACTCACAATCTTTCCTTTTATATGTTGATAAAAGAAACCATAGAACAAGGATATAGGAAACCACTGTCCGTTATTAAATATGCAAAATGATTTTATCCAATTGTCAAAATGGACGGAGCAAAAGCACATGATAAAGAGCGAAAAACTGTTACCTGTAGCACATGATTGAGACTAGCAATTTGATCTGCCTTCAAGAAATCGGAATTAAGTAATTCTCGAAATAGAAGCACCATTTCTTTGCTGACATTCCTAGCCCCTACGCAGGAATCATCAAACACAGTTCTTAACCACAAAGGAATATTGTCAAGTTTTGGCAATGCAACAGCTACATTCACTGCAGGCTTGTGAAGATTAAAGAAAGATTTCGATGCTAAACATGGAGCAGCCAAAGACAATGCCATCTCTTCTACACTCGGCCTGTACCAATAATTCTAGGCAATAATTCTCTTCTCCTGCAAATCCAGGTTTTCCCACCCTAGCACCATTGGTAGGCAGAGTCCACAGTTCATAGCCACCCTGATGTCACTATAAAAAACAAGGCCTTCTAACACAGCCATTATGGATATTAGGAAACCTGTGGAGCAATTCAGCTCCTTATGTTCTCTACTTTTCTGGTCTCATAATCTGGTGAACAATTCCAAAAGACAATATGAAGAGACAAGCTTGACTGAAGGGGACCCAAAATGCATCAGCTTGCACAAATCATGGTACTGGATGCTGACTGCTGTGAGTGATTGCTTTGAGTTCAATGGATCAACAAAATTTTGCCATTCCATGGGGTCTGGTAAAGCAGCATGTAAACTAAGGCAACAGAGAAGTTAGATTTTATCGCTTGGAATCATACAGGTGCATCAATGAAGGGTGCTTACCTTCTTAAATAGAAATAGTATGGTAGAAGCACAAATATCAGGCTTTCTCCTGTGTTTGCTCCCTCATCATAATCAGTCAACGCTGGTCCCTTTGAACAACCAGTTTCAATGGTGCTATTGATGGTACTGACCAAGGAAGTATTTAGAATAATTGTTTTTGAAGAGCATTGTTTGAGTTATGGTGCAAAATTAAGGAAAGAATGCCTATAACTATTAGACTTTCATGAGTCCAGCCATGCACAGCCACTATAGAGACCAGGCAGTCAATTAACTACAAAGTGAGAGAAGTCGAGTCAATTCCCTTTAATCGTGATCATACTAAAATAAGACAGAGTTAAGACAGTTACCTTTATAGTTACTACTACCTAGGCTTCATTGTCAGCGAGTAATTCAGGGTGCACTGAGCGTAAAATGTTAAATGTTACAAGTGAAATCGCCATAAATGTTTGCAGTGAATAGTGGTTTGATTTGTAAAAAAATGCACGGATTTCTTTGCTTATGCCATGCAAACATAATTGATCTGAAGTAGTTGGAAAGATGTCAATATTTTTTTCCATGAAATTTACTACTACTACTATGTCGTGCTCGTGGCCTTCTTGCTCTACAAGCTCTATCAATAAGCTAACCAGAATGGCAGCTGCATGGTTATCTCCTGCTGCTACCAACTCTGTAATCACCTTTTCATTAATAGTCTGACTACCATGGACAGCAACATCCGTTCCATAGCTTCTACAGAACTTCAGGATTTGGTATGACAATGGCTTGCTAATTTTTCTTGTTGGAACAACCACCCCAGTGATGATGAGTGGATCACTGCAAAAGGCAAATCTCATTCATTTTCAGTCACTAAATAGAACAGGATCCTCTCAGCTTCTAGACTGTAGGAGATCTGGTGGCTTTTGCCGGCAAAATTCCTAAAGAAGCCATAAAGATTCACCAGCCACATCGTGGTTGATAAATCAGCAGCCCCACACTGAAAGTTGCTTCTATTGACAAGAATGTATTGCTCTAAAGAAGCTAAAACTGACGTCTCAACTGCAAGTCTGAATAAGGAGCTCAATGAAATGAAAAATGACAACATAAATCTAAACCATAAAAGAGCCATAGGAATGAATTAGCTCAGGAACTAAATTACCTGTCATTGTATAAAGAACTGATATGTAAAATAATTAAAACTGCTGACTGACAAGAAGACAATTCTAAATTGTCAGCACTCTTCTGCCAAGCAGAAACAACATTGATAATCCGTGGATTATACTATTTTTCTTTGCTATTTGGTAGGATTTTCGGATACTTTCCTTTGCTTTTAGGCTTGAACTACCACTTCATTCGTTCATTTCATATTTCAGGTCAGAAATACATTTCCAAACTGAAACAAAGCAAAAATGAGGTCAGTTGATTCAAACTCGAGAGTTTTCAGAGCCAGGAATGTTTAGAGGTTGATTGGAAGCACCCTTGAAGCTCAAATAAAAGAGAAGGAAGAGAAAACCGGAGATTCAAGCATTGGAGCATGCAAGGGTAGTTTTGTAATTTCAACTATTTGAAGACAAGGTTTCGCCGCGGCATGAAACTCGCGGGTTAACTTTGCATTTTAAAGTTTCGTCGCGAGCCGCGGCGAATCCTGGAGTTATTTGTTTTGTAAAAACAGTGCGTTGTGGAGTTTTAGTCTTGAATCCTAGGGTTTTGGCCGACTATTTAAGAGAGCCTTAGCTCATTTTGTAAGGAAGTTGGAGGTTGCTAAGGAAGAAATTGGAGATTGGAAGCATTTTGGGTCTTAAATTAGGGAAGATTTCATTATTTTCTTATTGTTTTGGCATGTTGAGCTCTTTATTTACAGTCTATATTCCGATTTTCTTTAATTTGAATATGAACTAACTCACTTTTGGTTTAGGGTTTTGATCTAACTTGGATTACAATGGTTTAATCTATAAATAGATGTTGTTTTTAAGTTCTATTGTTTGGATTATGTGTTTATTCTTGTTCTTAATGCAATTGAATGTTGAGTTTTCTTTGGTTCAATTAAATGTTGAGCATGATGAGACTAAGAAGTGATTCATGTGTTAGCTCCTCAGAGAAAATACCATAGATTGAATGAAAGCTAGAGATAGGTTCGGAGATCTATGAAATCACTTTAGGATTCCACTTGGCTTAATAGACTTGGAACTGTTATTCTTCATTTTGTTGAGTGCGAAAGCTTAATAGGGATAAGTAGGAGAATATAACCTGAGAAGGTATATTCTGCAGATTAAGGTGTCCGATTTATAATCCTTGCATATGAGTTTGAAGGCAACAACAACCGTAGATTGAATCAGAGCATCCTAGTGAAGTCGAAATCCTAACCTCTTTGTCTTGAATTGATATTTTCGTAATTAGTTGATATTTTCTTAATTAGTTAGATTTTAATTTACGTTATTGATTTTGTCTTAATTTCTGCTTTTATTGTCTCCCACAAATGCAACAATCTTCGTGTTCTTCAACTAGTTACAAAACTAGGAAAATTAGTACTTAACACGCAATCCTCGTGGGAACGATACTCTTCTCATCATTTTATTACTTTTTGCGACTAGTGCACTTGCTACATTGCATGTTTGTCAAAATACGCATCAAGTTTTTGGCGCTATTGCCGGGGATTGATTTTGTGTTAATATTGAAGTTTTCTAGTTTTCACTAGATTGGAGTTTTACTTTTGTTTTAATTGTTTTTAGCTTAATTTTTTTTTCTTTTTATTCACTTGTGATCTCAAGCTCTCTTTCTGTCTTGTGTAGCTTATGCGAAGAGCAAGACATCATCCAGTGGTTCCTATTGATCCTGAGATTGAAAAAATTGCAAGAAGACTTATCAAAGAGAGAAGAGAACGAGAGGCAATAGTCATTAAAATGGCTGAAAACAGAACTTTGAGGGAATTCTCAGTACCCTCAGTTGATGGTGGTGGTCCAAGTATCACTAGACCACCGGTGCAAGCCAACAATTTTGAAATAAAGCCGGCAATCATCCAAATGATCCAACAGTCAATACAATTTGGGGGAGATGCAAGGGAAGATCCAAATTCACACATTGATAACTTCTTAGAGATATGCGACACATTTAAGGCAAATTGAGTGTCAGATGATGCCATCAGGTTAAGATTATTTCCATTTTCATTAAGAGATAAAGCAAAGGGATGGTTAATGACACTACCAATAGGAACAATCACCACCTGGAATGAATTGGCACAAAGGTTCCTGACTAAATACTTCCCACCAGTGAAATCAGCAAAGATGAGAAACGATATCACATCATTTATGCAGGAAGAGAACAAGTCACTTTATGAAGCATGGGAGAGATATAAGGAACTGCTGAGAAAGTGTCCACACCATGGTTTGCCTGTTTGGATACAAGTCCAAACCTTCTATAATGGGTTGTTGACAAATGTGCAAACAATGGTGGATGCAACATCTAGAGGAGCATTGCAAAACAAGACACCTAAAGAAGCTTATGAGTTACTTAAAGTCTTGGCAAGTAACAACTATCAGAGACCCAATGAAAGAATTAATCCGAAGAAGTCATGGGTATTCATGAAGTTGATGCTTACACGACCATTTTAGCCTAACTAACAGCACTTTAGCCACAATTAGGAGGTATGCAAGTAAATTCAATTCAAACCCCTTAAGTAACATGCGATTTTTGTGCAGGTAACCATGCGAGCATTAGATGCCAAGTGGGGAACAATTTTGCTTTAGCTTCCTCATCATCAGAACAAGTCAACTATTTGGCTGGGAATCAAAGACAACAAAACAATCATTTCTCCAACACGTACAATCCTGGTTGGAGAAATCATCCAAACTTGTCCTGAGGCAATCAAAATAATCAATAGAATCAAAGAACAGTGCCAAACAATCAAGTAGGGGTGAACCATCAACCATGGGATCAAAGAGTGTCGAAATTGGAGGATATGTTCAGGAAGTT